TTTTTTTTTTTTTTTTTTGCTGCTTTTAGCAAATTGTGTTCTCCAGTAAAGCTCCATTCATAGCAAGAAGCCTCCTGGACAAGCTGTCCAGGCAGATCCTTGTGATGGAGAACATAGCAGAGATCAGTAGCGAAAATCTGGGAAACATCAACTCCATCACTGAAGGTAAGAAGCAATATAGAGGTTTGTGGTTTGAGATTGGAGCTTTGCATATAGGTGTATACACATGTGCAAGTAAGTCACCCTAAAGAGTCATTTGGCAGTACAGTAAATTCCAGTGTAGACTGACAAACTTGCTAACAGACACTGCAACCACAAGGAACTACATGCATATGAATAGCTATCCATCTATCTATAGATAATATCAATCAAGATGTCCAGAGAGCTTACCATAAGCTGGGGTACAATACTGAGGAAGATGCGTTTCTTTTCCTCTGCTCCCTCTCTCCCCCCACACTAACACACAGAAGCAAATGGCTGCAGTGATCAAGAACCCAGTCAAAGGAGCAAAGTATGGCATCGTTTCCCCACCTCTATCTTGAGAGAGTCAAACTCTTTAGCAGATCTCTGGGTTATAGTATCAGAGGCATGACACAAGCGCTGAAACATTTGCTAGAAGTTTGCTCTCAATTATTATGGAATAACAGTAGATTTATAGTATCTTGAACAGATTTTACATCCGGTTATTCATTTCACAAGACCCTCATACTACAGGTGATTTGAGTATGATTTTATGGATCAGGAAAAATTGGCCAGCAATCAAGTGACTTGCCTATGGCCAAAGGCTATGCCAGATCAAGGATTCAAATTCAGGAGTACCTAACACCCAAGTCCTGTGTTATGACTGGAACTTTGCTTTCCTCTGGGACTTAATGGCAATTAAATAACTATTATCCAGTTTCAAGTACCAGATTAGTGAGTTTGCTTTTGACATCATTTGGATTTTTGCTCTGAGAAGTAAGAGCAGCACATTATGAACTCAAGAAGTTGGTGACTCCTGCATACTGGGCACATTTACATGTGCATTTAAGCACAGCTAAATTTAATGTGCATTAGCTTAATGCGCATTAAGCGGGTTTAGGCACATGTCTATACTGCAGGTGTTAAAGCACATTAATGCTGTGTGTGGACTGATGTGGGTCTAAAGTTAATCCTGAGTCGACACACAAAGCATTAATGCGCTTTAATGCATCTACACGTTTGCTAATGCACTTTAACTATTCAAGCCTAAATTTGACATTTTTAATGCGGATTAAAGGTGTGCACGTGTAGACATGCATCCTTAATGTGCATCAACTTAGGCTAATGCACATTAAATCAGTACATGTAGATGCACCCACTGTGAGGTTGATGATATGGGGAAACCCAGAGAGAGATAGTGAGCCATGTTAGTCTGAAGTCATGCAGAATGCAGGGTAGATTTGCATCATAGACTAACTACATCTGAGATGTATAGCAGAAGTTTTTATAAGCAGTGAACTTACTTCATCAAATGCTGTTCGAGGGGGAACTTACTCAGTCCTCATGGCTACCAGTGAGATGGGATGTTTTAAATATTCCTCTACCTTTCTCTTTTTTCCACAGCAGCACTACAATATCATTCCGTGCTTTTATTCATCTATTTTGCTTTTCCTCTCTAGCAATCCCAGAATTTCATAACAAGCTATCCTTGCTGTCCTTCTGGACTAAATGCACTGGTCCCATAGGGTTGTATCATACCTCCGCTGATAAGATGATAAAACAGTTGGATATCAATTTTGCTACTGCTGTGAATGAAGAGTGCCCAGGACTTGCAGAAACAGGTATAGTCTGCCAAAAATAAGTCTCCGAGCAACTCAAGGTCAATCCTGTAGAATCGCTTTTTGCAATGGGCATTTGTAAATGTCCATCCTCTGGAGCTGTGTTTTGCTTTCCCCCTGTTACACTTCAGGTCCCAGGAAGTTGGCTGGGCTGTAGTACAAACATCTTATCTCAGTGAATGCCTTAAATGTGAAATTTGAAAGAAAAAAAAAGGTTCAAAATATTGAATCTAAAAAATGAATGGGTTTAGAGTCATGGTTTTCAAACTTCCTAAAGTCACAGAATGCTTTCATAATCACTTCTGCTGCTGAGGACCCCTACCTCTACCTTAAAGACTGTTGAAAAGCCAGGCAACCTGGTCCCACAGTGGAGATACACTACTTTCAACCTGCTCTACCATTACCCCCAGCCTCTGTGCAAAACCCCAATGACTTACTTTGGAGTCTAGAACACATTAGACCAACCTCTGCCCAAAATTTCTCTCTCTGATCAGCACTGCAAATCTCCTGAGTAGCATGGCTTTTTCTGTTGCCTGTCCTGCCATTGAGATGTTCACTGAGGTCAGCAGAAGCTCTGCACATGAACATCAAATATACAAAGCCAAATCCTGCCCCTGGGTGACCTCATTGACTATTGCTATACTACAGAGGTGTAAGCAGGATACAGCATTCGGTTCTTTGATCACTGAGGCTATATGTCAGTTGAAGGAGAGAGAAAGGCACAGCACTGGACTTGAGAGATCTGGGTTCAATTCCCAGCTTTGCCACAGACATAACTGTGCCCTAGAACAGTGTTTGTCAACCCATGGTCGCCAGAATATATGAAAGGGTCATGAACAAACTTTAAAAAGGGATTCTCCTTTAAAGGGGGAAACTGTGGCTTTCCACTTGCAGGCTAGCAGAGTTCCAGCCTGCAAGGAGCTGCTGGGGGCCACTCACACTCCACCCCACCTCACCCACACACCTACCTCCAAAAAATGGCAGGGCTGAGGCCTGGAGGGTGGGGAGCAGAACGTCAGGGTGAGGGGAACTGAGTCAGTACTGGCCATCAATGTTTACAAATGGGTCCTGGTACAAAAAAGGTTGAGTACCACTGGTCTAGAACAAGCCATAGACTCTGCCTGATGTTTGTCACCTGGCTGCAGGTCTTTCCTACCTTATATGATTGGTGAGGAAAGAATCAATGATCATAAGGAGCTCAAATATAGTAGTCAGGCCCAGACAGGAAAAGGAAGTTTTGCTCTTAGAGGATGTTAGAAATCTTGGAAGGTGTCTGGTTTTGGGGAGGTGGGGAAAGCAAGTTCAATACACCAAAGGAAAGTAGAAGTTAACCACAGTGCTCTGTCTGCTTGAAGTTTTGTTCTTGTTAACACATCTTTGATAATGCTGTTTTGTCTTTTCTGCTGAACATAGTATTTAGAACCCTGGTGTCTCAGATCCTGGACCGAACAGAACCGATCCTCCCCTCCAGCCTGCCGTCAGAAATTATAACCATCTTTCAGTATTACCATTATTTTACCAGCAACAGTGCTAATGACCTGGGAAGCTATTTGCTACAGCTTGCAAAAGAAGGTAGAATACTGTATCTTATGTCTGGTTGCTAAGAGAAAAATACATCAATGTCCTTTGGAGCAGAGCACAGAACAGTTTAGGTCTTAGGCTGGTTTTCCAGAAAGACAGGGAAAGAAGAGAAGCAAGTGTGTTGGATGTTGAATGTGACTGACTGAATAGATGAAAGAAAATGGCTCAGGCAGGTACATTAGCAGTGGCTGTCAGTGGAAACTGTTGACATAAAGCTAGATAGGAAAAACTTGCACTAAGATGGGAATCAACAGACAATAAAGGAGAAGAGCTGCCTCAAAGCAAGATAAAACAATGCCTTCCTTTCCACTGGTCTCTGGAGAAGGTTGCACAGGAGACTCTGATCGCAAGAGCCTGGCTGAAGCCAGTGTGCTTAGACTTTTGCCCTCAGGAACAATAAAAGCAGCAATCTTATAACATGTCTAGTCCCATATATTATCAGTATGCAGTATTATCTAATATCAATATCCAGTACATGCTCTATTCAAGAGTCCCACCAAGTTAGAAATGGAAAGTGCCAAAGGAAAATACACATATTGAAATCAACTAGTCCATCTGCCTAAGATGCTCAGTTTTACTTGCTTGAATAAAAGCAACTCCAAACTTCTGAAATGTTCCAGCTACAGTTGATGACCAGGCTCCCACCTCAGGAATGGCAATAAGATCCCCAACATCCCATGTCTCACATACCTCATGAACCCATGCCTGTTCCTGGAAACTGCTTCTTGGAAGGCCAGACACTACCCAAATGGTACATGCAATGCTGGCATATACCAAAGCAGGAAGTTTTGCCCCTATCTTTTGGGCCAGTAAGCAGGGACAGTTACTGTAGGTGGGAAGACACAGCATAAACTATAAGGAAGATAAATGAGCAAAAAAGGAATATTGACATTTCTTTCCTGTGCATTCTAGCTGCAGTGGTTCAGATGCTACAGTCGTTAAAAAATGGAAAATTGAAGCAAAATATTGCTGAAATAACCTCTAGCAACCTTCCACCTCAGCAGGAAGTGCTGAGGGCTTTGGCTTTACTTCTGATTGAAAACAAAAATGAAATCAGTGAGGCGGTGACATTGCTCCTGTCAACTACAGCAGAAAACAGGCACTTCAGAGAGAAGGTGAGTGACAGCCCTTACCTAATAGTGAAAACCACTTATGGTATCAGGGACTTATATAAGCCTGTTCACTTCTCTGTCTGTAGGTATTTAATGGCCATGTAGGCAAAATAACTTCTCAAAGTTTCATAGATTCATAGATTGTAGAGTTAGAAGGGACCCAATGGATCATTGTGTCCGACCCCCTGCCCCTGGCAGGAAAGAGGGCCGAGGTCAGATGACCCCAGCCAGGTGATTGTCAAGCCTCTTCTTGAAAACCTCCAAGTTAGTTGAAAGCACCACCACTCTTGGAAGCCCATTCCAGACTCTGGCCACCCTTATTGTAAAAAAATTTCTTCCTAATGTCTAACCTAAATCTACTCTCCACTAGTTTGCACCCATTATTCCTAGTTACTCCCTGAGGCGCTCTGGGAAACAGCGCATCCCCAGTTCCCTGCTGCCCTCCCCTGATAAATTTATAGGTGGCCACAAGGTTTCTCTTCAGCCATCTTTTGTGAAGGCTGAAGAGATCCAGATCTCTCAACCTCTCCTCATAGGGTCTTTCATGGAGACCACTAATCATGTGGGTGGCCCTCCTCCGAACCCTCTCCAAGTCCTCCGTGTCCCTCTTGAAGTGCAGTGCGCAAAACTGGACACAGTACTCCAACAGTGGCCTGACTAATGCCACATAAAGGGGAAGCATTACCTCCCTCGATCTGTTGGTCATGCATCTGCCAATACACAACAAGATGTGATTGGCTTTGCTGATGGCCTCATTACACTGCCGGCTCACGTTCATCTTGGAGTGAACGATGACTCCAAGATCTCTCTCAGCCTCTGAGCTGCTGAGGAGGTCATCCCCCAACCTGTACGTGTGCTGGAGATTCCTCCTTCCTAGGTGGAGTACCTTACACTTATCTTTACTGAACTGCATCCTATTACATTCTTCCCATTGATCTAACCTGTCCAGGTCAGCCTGTAACTGCTCCCTGTCCTCTGGTGTATTAACTTTGCCCCATAACTTGGTATCATCCGCAAACTTGGACAGGGTGCTCACCACACCCAAGTCCAAATCGCTGATGAAGATATTAAATAATACCAGTCCAAGGACTGAACCCTGTGGGACCCCACTGCCCACCCCCTTCCAGGACAAGAACAACCCGTCCACCACCACTCTCTGGTGCAGTCCCTAAGACAGTTGGCCACCCACCTGACTGTGTAGGCATCCACTCCACAGCCCGTTAGCTTCCCTATGAGAATAGGATACAAAACTGTGTCAAAGGCCTTCCTAAAATCCAGGTAGATGACATCAGCCTCCGCTCCTGTGTCAAGGCAGTGTGTGACCTGATCATAAAAGACTATAAGGTTTGCCAGGCAGGATCTACCTGTGCTAAACCCATGCTGGTTTCCTTTCAGCATCGTTTCCCCTGCTGGGCTTTCACAAATACGCTCTTTGATGATTTTTTCTAGTATTTTCCCAGGGATAGAGGTAAGACTGACAGGCCTAAAGTTACCTGGCTACTCCCTTCTCCCCTTCTTAAAAATGGGCACCATGTTGGTCCTCAGGGACCTGTCCGGAGCACCATGAGAGCTCAAACCGCTGTGCCAGCAACGACACTGGCCAATTCCTTCAGCACCTGTAGATGGAGGTCATCTGGGCTGGCTGACTTGTAACTATCCAGCCCCTCCAAGTCCTCTAACTAAGTCAGCACTAACCTTTGGCGGTCTGGTGCCTTTTGAACATCTATGTTCAAGGTGGGGGGACTGTCTTGGTCAGTATTAAGGAATACTGAAGTGAAGAACTTGTTGAAGAGCTCTGCCTTTTTGTCTGCATCAACCACCAACTGACCTGATTTGTCCTGCTACTCTGCACCTTCTTTTTGCTCGCAATGTATCGGTAGAAGGACTTTTTATTGTCCTTGATTGTTGTAGCCAGCCTAAGCTCCAGTCCTGCCTTGGCCTGCCTGATTCCCTGCAATAACACGCTCGGGTGGTGTATCCCTCCTTGGTGGCTGCTCCCTGCTTCCATTGCCTATATATCTCTTTCTTTGCCCCCAGTCTTTCCTGAAGCTCCCTGTTCAGCCAAGGGGGCTTTTTTTATCCCCTTAGCCCCTTTTCTGCATAAGGGGATAGACTCCTTTTGTGCTACAAGGATCACTCCCTTGAGAAACTTCCAGCCCTCTCGGACCCCCATTAGCCCAATGCTCTTGAGTTCGGCCACCTCACTAACTAGGTTCCTAAGTTTAGTAAAGTTGGCCCTTCTGAAGTCTAAAACTCTAGTATCGCTGGATATTTTTGTCACCCTTCGCTGGATAGTGAACACTACCCAAGTGGTGATCACTATCACCCAGGTTACTGTGTACCTGCAGGTCCCCCACGAGATCAGCCCCTGTTGCTAGGACCAGATCTAGCAGGGCACTACCCCTGGTGGGACTGGACACATCTGGGTTAGGTGGAGGTCCTGCACACAGTGTAAGAACCTCCTTGAGTGGCTTGTTTTGGCCGCCTGTTCCTCCCCGAAGATATCCGGGGAATTTAGGTCCCCCATGACCACTGCCTCCCTTGCCTGTATGGCATCTGAAAGCTGCTTGGAGAATACCTCGTCTAGCTCATCATCCTGGTGAGGAGGTTTGTAGTAGACCCCCACTACCAAGTCCTTCTCCTTTGGCCCCCCCTGGATCCTGACCCACAATGTCTCGGTATTCCCCTCCTCCACTCCTGCCTTGATGACGGAAGATGTGTACTGCTCCTTAACATACAGAGCTACACCCCTGCCTTTTCTCCCCACTCTGTCTCGTCTATATTACCTGTACCCCTCAATGCCTACCACCCAGTCGTGCGTAGAATCCCACCATGTTTCAGTTAAGCCGACCAGGTCATACTGCGTGCTAGCAAGCAGGAGCGTGAGTTCCTTCTGCTTGTTCCCCATACTCCTGGCATTTGTGTAAAGACATTTTAGCCCCCCAGTGGGTGATCTTCGTGTCCCTCTTGGTGTCCCTTTGCCTTGATGGTGCATGTTCCCCTTAGTACTTACCTGGTTAGGTACAGTGCCTTGTCTGTGGCTTTTCAACCCTGGGTTCACATCAACCACCATCAAGCCTAGTTTAAAGCTCTTTGGAGGAGATCAGCCAACCTGCGGGAGAAGTTTGATATCGTCTGAAGAGGTGTACCAAATATTTCTGTAGTTGTTCAGTTCTGTTTCGAGAACAAATACCATGTTAATATTCTGGGCACCAACAGAAGTTGTTTAGCTGTTTGGTTTTGCATTGTATGCTCCTGCCATATACCATATATCAGAATTATACAGGGGCAATGAGGCGAGTTGTTTCTGGGGTTTATCTTCAATAAACTCTTGCTAAACCATCACTCAAGCACTGCTACTGGGAAGAAGCTTGGGCAAAGGGAAGGGTGTAAAACTTTTAGCTTGGAAGGTGGTAAGATCTTAGCAGTCATCCTGATTCCTATGAGAAAGGAACTGCTGATGAGCAACCAACAGTCAGCTTCACAGTTCTCAGTGAGGGGGATCAAAAGAATTTAGATCAAAGATGTGATTTTAAATAAAACATAAGATTTAAGATTAAGGCTTTGTAACTGCAACAGATAGGACTGCAGTAAACAAGTGAATTAAGAAGGCAGAAAAAAAGGGAGGGGGAGATGACTGACTTGTACCTGTACCTTGTACTTGTTTCCCTCTCCTCAATATCTCTGGCACTCTCAGCCACTGCCCCATTGAAAGCTGACTGCCCCACTCTGAAAAGAGGGGTAGACTAGGAGGAGGAAAAATGCAGGAATGAAGAAGGTGGCAAGACAAAGGATACATCTACACTGTGGTGGCAGAATGCTTAGTTATGCTTTTGAGGAAATAAATTCCACCCATCAGTTCTTGCTTCAGTCCTGGAAATGAGATGGTGTTGATGTCCTGAGGTGGGGTGATGCCCTTGGCACCACACTTAGGACTCTGGGGTGTTCAAGTGATCTGGATTATACCCAGGGGACAGCGCTTCTGAGGTGTAGACATATCCAAAAGTTCCAGGTGTCAAAATTAATCTCCTTTGTTCATCCTGTCTCCATTTCTCTTTCCCTTCCAGTTGCTCAGTAACCCTGTGCTATCTGTCCCCACCCTCTGCTTGAAATGAATGTCCCCTTCTCCTATTGCAAACTTGCTGAATTTATGTCTGGTTTGCAGCACTGGTGCCTGTATGAAAGCACCCTGGAAATCATTATGCAGCAGTCTGATGCTGAGATTTGCTGCTAACATTGACTACTGTTTGCTCAGCAGTAAAGGGCATCTCTCTACAAAGGAGCAGTAATTCATGTAGCAGATGGGCTGGGTTTGCAGGAGTCACTTTCAGTGCCTCTGCATTGTGGCTCAGTCTCAGGCAGGTGTTATGCAAAGTTATTACCATCTTAGAGCAGGGGTCAGCAACCTACTGTCCATGAGCAGGATCTGGCCTGTGAAGAGACTGGATCCAGCCTACAGCAGCTCATGGAATCAGCAGCACGCTTCAGGCAGAGCAGAAGAGGAGACATCCCAAGAGTCCTCATGCCTGCCTTTTTCTATGTCACAGCATCTGCTGAGGACCAGGAGGGCTGAGCCTTCAGTAGGGAGCTGGATCATAAGCAGTAGCTTGTGGTAGGAAAAAGGTTGCCAATGCCTGTCCTGGAGGGTGCACCTGGAGAAGAGTGCAGCTTTCTCTCCATGACCCTTTTGTAGGGACTGCCTTCCAGTTAGTGGCAATTGCTTTAACGTGTGTGGTCCTTCCCGGGAGGCTGGACTCAGACCACTAGCTTTTTCCACAAAGAATAGGAAAGGACTACAGCAACTGACCAGTGTTGGATTAGAGCCAACCTATCCTATTACTGGACTCGTAGCCATTCCATCCCTAGTAAATGACGATTTTGCTATTTCAGTTTGAGATTCATATTATTAGGTATATCGGTTTTCTCCATTCAGAAGTACACAGCTGCGTATGTGGCTTCCACTTTTCTGTTGTACACTACTGCAGACATCTTCATTACTGTTCTCTTCTCTCTGTTTTCCAGGCCTTGATGTATTATTGTGAAGCATTAACCCAGCCGAGTCTCCATCTCCAGAAGGCAGCTTGCATGGCACTGAAATGCCTCAAGGTAAAAACCAGGGAAATCATAGTTTCATAGTTGGTAGGGTCGGAAGAGACCTGAGCAGATCATCAAGTCTGACCCCCTGCCATGGCAGGAAAGAGTACTGGGGTCAAACGACCCCGGCAAGGTGTTCATCTAGCCTCCTCTTAAAGACCCCCAGCGTAGAAGCCAGCACCACTTCTCTTGGAAGTTGGTTCCAGATCCTAGCTGCCCTGACTGTGAAGTAGCACCTCCTGATACCTAGTCTGAATCAGTTGTGGTCCTGTACTTTACTCTCTCATGGAAGTTTAAAAAAAATAAAATAAAAGATTCTTTTACAGTAGACCTGGCTGAGCAAAGATGCACAAACTACAAAGAGACAAACAGCAACCACAAGGGACTTATAGAGCATTTGCTGCCACAATACCAGTGGTGTGTTGACAAACTCATTAGAACGGTGGTTCTGAACTGGGGCATCACAGGGAAATGACTTGAAAAGCCCCCAAACCCTATCATTAAGATATCCCTAGTTATCAAAGCACCTCTAGAGCCTGACTCTACTACTGGGATATCTCCCAGCCCCAACACTAGGTGAGGGGCCCCAAAATCTACCCTTTCTCCTACAAGCACAGACTGCCCCACCTGCCTGTGTCCTAAATAGAACTCTAAGAATCCCAGTGATCTCAAGCAGAAAAACAGCTCTAAACCTTTCCTATTCTCTAATCCTAACCCCAGCTCAGGCTGATCTACCAGCCCCAGGCAAGAAACCCAGAACAGCCCGACTACAGCAACACCTGGTTAAGAACCCCTGATGTAGGCTGAGGCAGCACAACAGTGGCTCTCAACTGGGGCACTGCCAAATTCAAAATTTGGGGGAGGAATGCCCTGATTCTAAGAAGGCTGGGAACCACTAGCATGGGCAACTGGTGTTGCCTTAGTCCCGCCGACGGGGAGCGGTGGCTGATTGTTGTGATCGCTACAGCTGCTCCCGGGAGTGGCTGCGGCCGCTCCGGAAGCAGCTGTAGCAATCCTAGCAATCGGCCGTTGCCCCCTGTCTGGGAGCAAGCGCTGGCCAATCACTGCAGCCGCTTCCAGGAGTGATTGGCTGGCGCTCCTACCTGCCCCCCCTGCCCATCATCTAAGCGGTGAGAGCAGCTGGTCAGGGGGTGCATGTGCACCCCCGTGCACCCCCTATGCATCGCCACTGACCCCTGGGTTAGAATCTTGGTTTCTAAAGCAATCAGTTTCCATGATGGTATTAATTTGTTTTTATGCATCTATTTATTTGTGCTCTGATGACAAGAAACCCTGTGTTACTGGTCTTAAAAGATACCCTCTGGGCATGTACACAAGGGCAGGGGAGACACTGCCTGTCAGGAAGGCATTGTAACTTATGGTGCCCTACACAAAGCACCATGAGTTAGAGCACCATTGCACCCAAGAGGTGTTTGCCTGTTGGAGGGGGGGTGCTGTGCTCAGAGTCTGCCTGGACCAGCTCAGGCCTACAGGTGGGGGTACTCCAGCAGCCTCCCAGGAGGCTGCCAGACCATGGCTTTCCCCAGTCCTGCCTCTCCCCACCCCACTGCCAGCTGGCAACTGTCAGCAACAGCTGGAGAAGGAGAGGGGAAGAGAGAGCCCCACCCCCAACCGTCACATGTGCCCCCCCCAGCTACCCCTGCTGTGGTCTTGATGGGAGCAAAGCCGGGCCTGCATGGCAGGAGAGACTCCCTTCCCCACCCCTGTTACCTGTGCAAGCAACTTGACAGCAGCAGAGGGTGCTGTGCCTGGAACTGGGGTGGGGGAGGGAAACAGAGCCTGCCCCCCTGCCCCCCCCACTGCCTCAATGGCTCTCCACAGACGGGTTTTCTGTCTCCTCTCTGTGACAGCTCCAGTCCAGCTCACAAAGCCACATGGGATGAGGGCAGAATCACGCAAAATTAACCCTCGCAAGGAACCTGTAGACAGGCACCAGTACACCTGTACTCTGCCTTTGAGAGCCCCTATCTGATATTTCATCAGATGATGGTTAAGTTTTTGCATGATCAGCCATTTTAAAAGTGCTCTGCAGCCATCAACATTTGTTATGTTACTGCTTTAGAGCACTTTCGGGGGTCTTGTCATGGAAAAAAAAATGTATCTTCTGTCAATGCCCTCCGTTTCCTACTAAGCGAAGAAAACTATTAATCCAGACTGAATACATGAAAGGAAAAATGGTTGTATTCACAAACAAAAGTATAGCATACATACCCCAAAATACCCTCAGCTGACCTCTCTACCCACCTTTACCCAAGGTGCATCTGCTTGGCTGGGTTTTCCTGCTATTCTTCTCTAGGGAGGAGATAAGAGGATTAGTCTAATGTGTCAGTTATGTTGTATAATAGACTCCTGGAAGGCACTCAGATACTATAGTGGTAAGGGTAGTACAGGAACCTACAGAGAATAAACAATTATTTGAGGGAAAATGACATCAAATTTTAAAAAAACCCCAAAAAACATAATCCCAGGCTTTACGGCCAAGTCTACACGACAGGTTTCTGTCAGTCATACATGAGGCATGGCTCCTAAACAATATAGTTGTGCCAGTAACATAGATGCACCTATCCAAGTAAAATTCTGCCTCTACCGGCACTAAAACCTGATGGTGCAGTTCTTTTCCCACTCTAGGTAAGGACAGAGGCTACATTGCCAAAGCTGCGATATTACTGCTGTAGAACAAAGTTACTCCTTGTTCTATCTGCAAAAAGCTTACCAGCTGAGTTTGACTGACTTGCATGAGTTGTGCCAGCATAAGTATTTTGGTTAGAAGGTCAAACCCTACCCCGCACCCTGACACACACTCCTAACCTATAGAGCTTTCCAGCAAAAACCCTAAAGTAGGCAAAAAATTTCTTGTGCTGGTATAGCTTTTTTCTATTCAGGGAAGTATTCAAACAGAAGTCAGTGTGCCTGTGTGTGTAGAATGGGAAGAGGGATGTGGAGAAGATAATGTATGTATAACCACACAAGAATGTGGAATGAAAACACAGGATAACTGGTAAGGTTAATACAGCTTCTTTTTATGTTTTCTAGGCTACTGAAAGTATTAAAATGCTAGCCACACTCTGCCAGTCTGAGGATGAAGAGATCAGAAAAATAGCATCTGAAACTCTGCTCTCTCTTGGTGAGTTGCCTGCTCTCTATTTTTTAAAATTGTCTTACAAAGTGTCCATTATGGGTATCCAAGAAGATGCACAAAATTTAAGACAATAAATCACAATAAAACTGAACGAAGACTCTCCAACAACTAATAAAGTAAAATAACCCAATAAAAAGGACCAAAGAGAAGGAAAAAAAATCCCACAAAACTGGGATGGAGAGAAGAGAATATAAAAATGATTGAGAATGAGTTGGCCCAAGCAGAAATCACTTGATGCCGACCTGGACACAAATACTAAACATTCTATAAACTATTCCATTACTTGGAGCAAAATGTTAGCCGAGACTCGTTAGTGGAAAAGAATACATTATGTGACCCTATTCAATTCCCAAAGGCACACTTGAGACATTAGGCCAAATGCTATATTCATGTTCAAACAAATTACACATGAAAAACAAATGCTAGCAAAACACAGAAAAAATACTGCTTGCTCTTCTTTCTTTCATAGGCAAACCTCTTGGTGGCACACAGACTGTTTAGCAGTACAGCTGTACAAACAGCAGCACGTGATCACAAACCACACCTGGTTCAATTTTGCAGCAAAGACTCCTTCCTATCTGTAACCCCGTACATGTTTTAAAGTGATTAAAAAACAAACAATAAATTTATAAACCTTAGTACAGATCTACTCTCAGAGTCAAGAAACACTTTTAATTTACCAAATCTGCCCCTGCCCTATTTGTTTTAAGTACCCTTTTCTAAGCTCTAGATCAGGAGTGGGCAATTACTGTATTTGGGCCTGAGGGCCACTTTGGGAGTTTTGGTGAGCTGTTGTGGGCCAGGTCAACACAGCCCAACTCTGCCTCTCAAACAGCTCACCAAAACTCCCTAAGTGGCTCTGCTTTGGCCAGGCAGCAGGGATGGGACAGAATAGGGTTGTGGGAGGGTAGGGAGCGGCATGTGGGAATGGGACAGGCGGGCAGGGTCAGGGCTGGGGCCAAGGCTGGGATCATGAGGTGATGACAGTGCAGGGCTGGGGCCTGAGACAGAGCTGTGATCTGCTCCCTTCATGCCCCTGCCCATGTAACCGGCACCCATGACAGGGATGTGCGGGTAATGGATTGCAGGTCCTGGCACCTGCTCTGTTACCACCCTGCAATCCCACCCCATGATTACAGCCCTGCTTGCCCATCGAGGTCCCAGACACTGCTCCCCACCTGCCTGCAGCCCCGTTCCATCTGCCTGACCATGCACTCTGTCTGTGTGGATCCCATCCGTGGTGATGAATTTGGGGCAGACAAGCTGGGGTGCCGAGGCAGTGGAGCTGGCACCAGCAATGGTGGCAGCTGGAAGGAGCCACCACTGCTGGGGCTGCCGGGAAGCAAGTCTGACTGCCAGGGTGCTCCAGCCCTGCTGCACACCTGGGACCAGCCACATGTGCCATGGCCTGGGCTGTCCCCGCCACTGCCCCTGGACTGGGTGGGACTGAGGGATCTGCTGCAGGCCAGACAAAATCCTTTGGTGGGTAAGATGTGGCCGATAGGCCATATTTTGCTCACCCTTGCTCTAGATGCTTTTATGCTACATCACATAGAATTAAATACCCCAGCTCAGTGCTCTCCCTATAAAGTACTCACTGTTGGAGACATACTGGGCTACATGGACCATTGGTTTGATCCAGTATGGCACTTATGTTCCAATTCTTATTACACAATCAGTGAATTTGTCACACTTGTCTGGACAAGCAAATTAAAAAAAATCATCTCATCCTCCATGCCTTTCCCCATCAATCCATATCCTGCAAAAATGCCTTATGAAAGCTTTTATCTGATGCAAAAGGATCAGCTAGAAGGCAGCCTATTACAGAGAAACAGAGAATGAAAAAAGTATGTTTTATTATACTTGCAAGTGACCAAAATGGTGACTACTCAGCACCCCAGTGACACAGAGTAAAAGGTTTTGAGGAATAGTTTGAACATTCACAGCAGCATTCTGTTTTCCTGGCTGTATTTCCAAATTTGGATTTATTAAATTAAAAGTCCTGGAGGAAAAAAAGTAAGCAATAAAGTCATTCTCGCTAACAAGAAGAAATCTTATTTGCTAAATGTTGTGTATGCAGAGGAAGCAACAATTTATGTATGCTTTACTATTTTTGTGCTCAGGTGAAGATGGGCGGCTGGCATATGAACAGCTGGATAAATTCCCTCGGGAATTTGTTAAAGTTGGAGGCCATCGTGGGACTGAAGCTGCCACTGCCTTTTAGGTGCAAGATAACCCACCTACCATTTTCTAGTGAAAAAGACTGGCTTAATTCACCAGGGTGGTGCTGTAATTTAAACTGCCAGTAAAAATATAATCCAACTTTTGAAGCATGTTATAAAACTGTCCTGAAATGCAGCAGCTTAGATTTTTAAAGAAAAAAAAGCATGCAAAACGCAGCTCCTGAGTTCCTCTTGGCTCTTTGCCATAGCTTGCGACAGAATGGATATGTGCTGAAGAATAATGCTGCTTCGGAGTGAATGATGAGCCTCAGCAAACTTGTATGAGTTTTTAGAAATCAGCATCTGGATACATTTCACAGGACTTTGTACTTTTTTTTGCTGAAGTTGTTGTAAAAGCTTGGAATCTGATGCTGTATCTAAAAAGGAGAAGTGGGAGGCCACTCAAGTAGAATTATAGAGCACTGCTCTCTGCATACTAAGCTAAGTGTCTGATGCCTTGTAGTGTCCCCCTAACACACCACTCAGCTACTCAGTTCTGTTTTAATAATGAAATATGGAATGAGTTTTTTCAAATCAAGCCTTGCCTCCAGAAACAGCATGACGTAAGCCCCAGGGGATGTCACTTCAGCTATTTGCATTAAATGCCTCTGCTGATCTTTTATTTCCTCTCTCTCGCCCTCAAGTAACGAACCACCATTAATCCAGGGATTTACTTGTGCTATCAATCTATTACGTAGGTTTTGTAGAAATAAATGGAAGGTTAACAGAGCTCATTTTTCAAACCAAGGAAAGGCTAATATAGTACAATTAATTGCATAAATCCCTCAAGTTGGTTTTGTTCCCTAGGTAACAATAAGGAGTGGGTTTCACGCATGCTGACTAGTGGATGGCAGCTTGCTATAGTGTAGTTCCATCATAAAGAACAGCATACAAAAAAGGAACTTGAGGCTACAATAAATGTAGTGTGAAATAAATGCATTTTCTACCCATTTCATAAGAGACAGGATACTTCAAGCTGTTGATTACAGACTTTAAGTTAACAGAAAAAGAGGTGAGTGCAATTTTAAGAGAAGGGTGTTCCTGTGCAGCAATTCATTTTACATTAAATACTATTTAGATGTCAGTTAAAGCATCCAGATTTTGATAGACTTATCTAAGAGAAAGGTTACCGAGAATTCACTTCAAAAAGAAACCTTGCGCGCCAAATACACTGGCAGACAGTTTTTGACTGTGAATGTTACAATAATGTACATATATCTGTATATTTATAAATATATATATATATATTATATATATATATTCTTCCTTTCGATTGTTACATTTGTACAGTTTTAAATGTTTACTTGTTTACCAGAGGAAATAATCCCTTTTTATCAAAGGTGAGATAACCATGTTATGGTTTTTATATCATATCTGTTGCATGACCCGATTTCTGCCATGGTGTTCTTTTGTACTGACTTTTGCTTTTTTTTTTGCCATTTAGTTTTGTGGTATTTGTACTCATATTGCCTGTCACATTTAAGTTATAATAAAGAATATTTTTGAAATACTAAAAAACAGTTTTATATTTTGGATGCATGTTTCTATCAGTGGTCCAGGTTTCTCCATACCACCTGAGAATATGTCTCTGTACTAGGAATTGGGCCCTGAAACTCACCACTGATGACTGTAGCTGCCTCAGGACAAAACTCCTTTGGGTAGAGATATAGAAATCAGAGCGTACAGGAATGCCCCTCACCTGGGGCTAGCTTCTGATGGCTGGAACTGGGGTAAACCCCTAATGCAGTTAAAGCAGTAGTTTATTCCTTGTGGCAACTCTCTTCCAAGAAACAGATATTATGAATATTATGAAGTATAAATGCCAGAGCCTAACAAGCAAGGATCACTGATACATGGTCACAAAGATACTTCATAATACCCTCAAAGGAAGGGGTGATAGCACCTCTGTTTTGTCACATGTTGCCTCAATGACAAAAGTTTCATGATGCAGAAGGCAGGGTAGAACTGCACCTTATAAAGAAAATGAATCAGAAACGTGTAAGCTTTCTCAAGTTGCACCTCTATCCTGCTCTCTGCCTGACTTCAGACTAACACAGCTAACTACCTCTCGCTTCTCAAAGTTTCATCATGTTAACTTTACAATCAACACAGACATAGACAACTCCTTTTCAGCATCATGTCAGTTAGTCATGGTTTTTAGTATTGTCTTAGAGCTCTAGGTTTTTACTATTGATGGTACTGGACAAAGCACCAGCAATACTATAGCAAGCATCTTTCAAGTACATCTAATGGTTCTCAACTTTTCTAGACCCAAGGTACTCCTTAGAAAATGCCAGAACTTAGTTTTCACTCATTTTTTTTAACACTATAGATTCCTATTTGAAATCCCTGGGTTTTTATTGTGAATCATGTTTATACACCTAATAGTCCTAACATTGCGTGGCACCCCTTTGAAAGGATCTCAAGGCACCCCAGAGTGCCACGGCATGGTGACTGAGTATCACTGGAGTAGACTGACAAAAGAATGCATATTACACCAAAGTAAATTACACCAAGGTATAAGACAGACAAATGTGCAGCTTATCCTTGAGTAACTGCATGTCAAAAGGCAGCTATTACAGTGCCTCATCACCACTGTATGCTAGGGAAAAAGCTAATAACCTGCTTGCCTTGAGGAAATGACTACCTTGGGATTAACTGCAGATAGACAGACTCATAGATTTACCTGTGATTATTTCAAGTGTAATTTTCCATTTGATTGGGTGTAATGTTACTCTGGGTTAGGAGTTTGCCTCATCTGTACATGGCATTTTTACACTGATATAAATGTATCACCTGAAAGTCTGGACAGGTATGCAATACTACAGCTTCATGGAACTGGACTGAGCAACTGCAGGATACTTGCTTGCTTCTAGTATCATTGGTCCTTGGGTGGTTGACTGGTTCAGTAGTTTCTAGCTCTCAGTGGGCCAGGGGAAGTTCAACTAGCATATTGTTTTAATCAGTGAAGCTCAAAATACATACCCAAATGAAGGGAAAACAACAAAGAGGTGGAGGAAGATGGTTAGCCAACCCCAGAGATGGGTGGAGCTGGTACTCTATATTGCTAGTCTCCATTACCCACCCACAAACTTCAGGCTAGATTTAATTAAGGCCTACAGATTTTTTTAAAATGAAACTAAGGCCTTGTTGTCAGGGAGGGAAGGGACAGGAGAAATCATTGAGTGGCTGGTATTACTTTGACTTCTGCAAAGTCAAAGAAACCATCTTTCCTACAATCTTTTTAAAATACGAATCTATGATTTTGAAAACCTGAGAGGAGTCTGTGTGGCTTCTATTGGTTGTCAAAATGGACCTTGATCAGTTTATGAAAGCGTGATATAATGTGGTGCCTGGGACTTGGCAGCCCAGGCAGTCCCTTCCAGTCCTATGTTCTGTTGTTCCTTCCCTCACTGTCCTAAAGTGAGCCTACAGTCCACATTTCCCAGAGCAGAACTGTTCCTCACAGCACCTGGTCTTTTAAAAGAAGAGAAGGCCTCTGCTTTCAGATACAGGGAGGTAATCATGCATTACAGGAAGTGAGAGTATAGAATATTGATTTGCTAAAATAGATCTCTTATGGTGTCATTAGATTCCATATTGCAACAGAGACCCAGTTCCATTTGTCATTCTACCAATTAACTGTATTCCGAAGTATTGCTTAGTTACTAACACTTTAACAGTTTCCTTCAAAATTCGAAATAATACTTTGGCTTTCCAGTTACTTCCTGTTTAAATACAGAGAATATAGATTTCTGCATTATTACGGAAGGCTTTGAGGAGGAAGCCGAAGTATGTTTAAGAAACTCAAAGGTTGTTATGAAACCTTCATTAAGTCCCTTTACTCTTCTGAGGAGGATGAGCCTGATGATTCAGCTGACAGTGTTTTTCACAGGCAAAATATTATAGTATATGGCACTCAGCTGAGAAGTACAGAGCTGCCCATGGAGCAAAGAGCCAAAGCGGCAGCTAGCATCGGACTGCTAGCATACACAGGTACCAGCATAAGCAGGGGCGTTGAAATTGTAATTCTTCTTTGCTGTTCCAAGGTAGTTTAAGCCAGGATTTCATAAGCAGGGTAAGACTAGTCTCCCACATACGACACCTGAAAGCAGTGTATAAGGACACAATATAAGCCCCAGACCTGTTCTCAGTAAAGCCAGTAAGAAAATTTTCATCAATTTCAATGGGGCAGAATCAGGCTATTAGCTCCAAAAGTGACTGAAGCTTGGGACCCTGATAAGTTTGAAATTATAATGTACAGGTATGTAGGACGTAGACTAAATTCCACTTTGAAGTTCAGTGTTGTAACTCTCAACATTTTTAATTGGGCTTTTTATCTTAACTCACGGATTTGTGCAATTGCATGAGAATCTCAGTTTCCAGTTAAACAAAGATAGGTTTCCAGCCCTTATGGTTATAGAAGAAAGCTTGAAAGAAAGCCTTCAAGGCCAAAAAGCAAATAAATCAACATTTATCATTTGGGTTTGGTTTGAAGCCACTATAGTAATAGTTGGGGCTAGCAATACATCTACTTTTTATCCAACTGCCTGACGCAAGATCATGCTGCTGTAGATTACAACCCTTTCAGCAGAAGCTCTGCTCGAGGAGGACTCTTGATGCTAAGTCTCTGGTTTGAGACCCTGGCTTTCCCAGAGATCCACAGCACCGGCATGTCAGAGTGCTCCTTCTTTGCTCAGCTGCCAGGAAGAAGGGTATTTGTTTCTTCAAAGAAGGTGGGAGGTCAGAGTGCTGACAACCCAAACAGCACAGCAGACAGCTCTGGCTTCAAGGAGTCTTTATTGTGCTACTCCAGTTCCCCCTGTGCTCCCTTGGAGTTCACTCTGTCCTCGCTGGGACTATTTATTTCTCTGTAGCCTGCCCTGCCTGGGACTACTCTCTTTTTTTTGTCCTTCTTAGGTTTTTTCTGTCCTACTGTTCTAACTAGTTTGCCAACAAAACTGTTACAAAACTATAGTAGTCAACATGGGGGCAATGCTCAGCCAACAAAATTAAATGTAAAGTCACAGGGAACCAATCAGGGAGCAGCCTCTGTGGCTGAGCCAAGACTTGCCATCTGCCCCACAGGGGAAAAGGATGCATTGGTGTCCTGCTTTTGAAACTACACTAAAGCATGTTCACACTGTGCCCTGCCAGAGCTGCAGGGTAGAACTTAATCTATTTCATCCCACATGCCATCTCCACAGCAATGAAAGAAAAAAAAACCCCCCAAAAAGTCAAAGTGCTACAGAAATAACAAGACATAGAGAAGGAACGAGATAGGTACTCACCAGCAAGAAGAAGAAAGAAGCAGTCCACAGCTACCAGTTACAAAATGGCCACTTTACAGCTGCAGCTGTTTGGCTCTGTCAGATTTAAAGAACCAACCCTCAGAAAGGCACACTAGGTATAACCACCTGAAGGCTGGAACAGGAGTTGTAAGAGGGACAATGCGCAGAAAGAGGCCGGTGAACTTCCAGGAAGCTGTATGTGAACAATAGCTCTGCATACAAGTGTGCAACATGGTTGGGAACAGTGGTCTCAGCAAAGGTATCACTGCTACAGCCAATGGATAAATACTGTCCAGGAACAACTGGGAAGACTTGATAGGGATGAAATTGTCAAGAAAAGCATAGCTAGGAAAGGAGCTGAAATAGTGTTTGTTTTTTATCAACATATCCTAATTTTTTCTTGTAGCTTAGTTTTGGCAGGGTGTTCTCACCACATTTTCTAAGCTGTTGCTAACTATTGTTATGTTTTCCCCCCTTGTGAGGAAAGGAGAGAGGGAGAGTAAAAATCATAGAGCAGAGGTGGGCAAAATGGCCAATCTGGCCGGCAGCTGGACTTCATTTCCCAGCAGCCCCTACCCGCATGGCTGGGGAGACAAGGCTGGGGTTGCCATGGAGACCAGCCCCAGCCCCACTGGCAGGACATGTGGCAGAGCAGGGCAGGGGGCTGCTTTGGAGCCACTGGGATCTTGCAACGGGGGCAGCTTGCTCGGGAGCCAGGGCAGGACTGTGATCTGTAGCCTGCACACTCCGAGCAGGGGCGTGCAGGCAGGGGATCGCAGCTCTGCTCCTGCTCCAGACCAGGCTGTCACTGCTGCAAGGAACCAGTGCAGAACTGCAATCCCCTGCTTGCATGCCCCTGCTCAGGGCAGGCAGGCTACAGATCGCAGCCCTACCCTGGTTCCAGAGCAAGCTGCCCCCATTGCAAGATCCAAGTGGCTGCAGAGCAGCCCCCTGCCCTGCTTGGCCACACGCCCTGACAGCATGGCTGGGCCTGGTCTCCATGGCAACCCCAGCCTTGTACTATCACAGTACAGGTGTAGTTGGGGTCTCCATGGAGACCGACCCCCAGCCATGCGCAGGGGCAGCTGGTAAATGGAGTCCACTGCCGACTGGATCCAGCCTGCAGGCCAGACTTTGCCTGTCTCTGTCATAGAGTAACATAGAGGTACCTGGGCTGGCTTTAAACAAGTTATCTCAGGTCCTAGAAGCAGCTTAGAAGCTTATTGGATAACTTACCCTGCACTGAGTACTGTCATGCTTTGGTGGGATTGCTTCCACTACCCTTGAGTTCCAGCAGCAAAGACACAGCGTAGAAACAGCTGTAGTCTGCTCAGCAGAGGTGGGTTGTAAAGGGACTCCAGCTGGACTGCAAAAACTTGGATCTTGATTAGAAGTGCTGTGTGCTCTGTGCTGCTGCTTGCAGCCATGAGGTACAGCATGTGCTTCGAGCAATTCTGAAAATCTCCAAGCACGTGGAGCTTCCTAGTGTCACCCTTCGAATCATCTTCACTACGACTTCTGTTCCAACCAGCCGGCTGTTACAGGTTCTGCCAGCACAAAGAACTGAGAGTAGATGCACTCAGAGTTTTGACTGTGTAACTTAAGTAGAGCATAGTAGCGCCAAGTATAACAGCTGTGGGTTATGGAAGGTATCCTGCATCTCCCTGACCTGCACACCTTCCCTTGATGAGAACGACTAATGGGTCAATAGTGTTGCTCTTCCAGCCAACCTCTGTCCCAGATTACATGGCTAGCAGAGGCAGCGTGTGGAGTAGGCAGCTGGGATAGGATCCCAGAACTGTGACCAGCACTGTTATTATTCAGTGGAACTACTTTGACTGTGCTGCAGGCAAAGTGGGATGGTGGGAAAGGTGGAAAGGGCACTACTACCTCCCATTAGTATATCTCATTTTAGAAATCACTCAGACTCAGAGCACAAAGTACCATCTCAGTATTCATGCCCGGGCCAAAAACTTGAGTCTCCCTCAGGGCACAAGTAGCCTTTGTTAAACTGTACTTTGCCATTGCTTTAAATAAACAGAGAAAGTAATAATGTGGGATAAATATTTTCTATACAAGAAAATATGGTCAGGACCTGACTGAAGAACAACAGAATGTGAGCAGCGGGATGGCTCAGCAGGTTCTCAAGCCGTCTGCTCTCCACTTCAAATCTAGTTCTAAAAAAAAAAAATCTCAGATGACCCTCAAAGAGCAGCAAACAAATGTGCACAGCATCCTCCTTGCAGAAATGGCTGGTTGACATATTTATTTGTGTGCAGTCTGCACAACAGGCAATAGCGGGTAACAACACCACGTGCCAGGTGTAGGCAGCACAGTGCCAAATGCTGAGTGATTCCAGATAGCTCCTCCAAGAAGTAGTCGTTACCATATTATGCACATCCTTGGGTGTTACTGCTTGCATAGCCTGGGGAGTTATGTTTAAACTCTCATTTTTGACTTGCCTTATTTGCCAGTAAATAAGCCCATAAAAGATCACACTTTTAGATGCCTTTCTTTCCAGTTTAGAGAAAATAATGGTCTACCAGCTCCGTGCTGAGTCCATGTGTGGAGGATTGCTTTGAAATGTCTGGCATCTGAGGGAGATCTAAGTCTCCATATGGCAACACTGAAGTCTAAAACACTCAAAATATCATCCTTATCAGATCACAGGCATTTTAAGTTAGAAGTGCTAGCACCCAGCATAGCAGCAGATGGGCCTCAGTTCTATGAAAGTAATGGGATATTTCAGTGAAAGACTAGCTTGTGGCTCTGAGCAGTGTCAGAGGAATCAGTCAGCTGGCATGTTTAGGTGTACAACAGTTTGCCTGAATTTTTGAAAATCAGGCCAGATCCCAGCACCAGTCAGTTTATTCTGCCAACCTAAGTTCTTTCTGCACTCTGACTGGTGGTTAAATTGTTTCTCAGTTCCTGTCCTAAGGAATGTTGCTTTATATGACCGTCCCTGGCAAATAAAGTAGTTCCATATACATTTAATACACAACCTACAAACATCCTACAATATGTATAGGAATTAGATGCATGCATATTATAACTATAAATATTATATTAGTCATGAAACGAACAACATGACGCTGTTGTGTATATATGCAGACATAATGCTGTTCTTTATGATGGCAAATGACAGAACGAGAAGCAATGCTCTCAAGTTGCAGCAAGAGAAGTTTAAGTTAGATATTAGAAAAACTCTCCCATGAGGAGGGTAGTAAAGCACTGGAACAGACTACCCAGAGAGGTGGTAGAATCTCCACCCCTGGAGGTTTTTGAGACCTGGCTAGACAAAGCTTTGTCTGGGATGATCTAGTTGAGCAGGCGGTTGGATTAGATCAGGGTTACCATACATCTGGGGTTTCCCAGATGTGTCCTCGTTTTGGGTCCTCTGATCTCCGCCTTTGAGGTTTTTTGAAATATGAACAAATGTCCAGTATTTTGCTGGTAGAACTGAATTTCCCAGCTTGCCCTAGCAGCATGCATGTTTACCAAAGATCCAGGTTTTCCACTGGCTGCAGAAAAACATGGATTTCCCTCTTTACAGGAGGAAACTGGGTTTTCCCTTGCAGGCTGATCATTGACCATCATGGCAGGGGCACTGGTTATACAGTCTATACATTTGACAGCCCCTTAACAGAGGTTGAAAGTAACTAGGAGGGGATAATAAGCCTGGGTAAGCACTGCTACATTGTTGCAGTTAGCTAAAGTGCTGTTCCATAACCTGTAAATGACCTGATACTTAGCAGGATGAGGTGTTGTTGGCACATTTGGCTTCCTAAGGATGTTACTTGGTGCCTCATAGCCTCTGCTGTTCTGAAAAAGTCCAGTTGAGTTTCCCTTGCCAGGACTGATATTTGCAATCCTTAACTTCTTATCTGAGTTCCTAAGGACTGTTTTTCCTAAAATCAATTGCTGTATATACAGTACATGTAAATTAATAGAGTTTAAATTGCCTAATTCAGATTATCCTAGTCATTAACTTTAATCCTCATTCAACAAGGATTAGTTAATTCAGACTGGAGCCAATTTTAATTTTGACATCCATGTGTATATAGTTAACAGCTATAGTCTGGATTAAACCTAAAAAATGTAACATCTATAAACTGCCTTCAATTACAGGTGAACCAAATGCTGGAACATATGCTTCAGAGTATATTCAGGACCTATGTGATATCTTGCTGCTGCCAGATATTTCAGCCAAAGTGAAGATCCTAGTGCTGCAAGGACTGTCTGGTATCTGCTACATAAATTACAACAACCAAAACAAAGCAAAAGACTTAAATCTCACTGATGCTCTTCTTGCCTGCCTTGATGAAGACAAAGATGCCTCTTCAGATAAACCAGAGGGCATCTTGGTTAAATCCTGGACCTGTTACTTCCTGACTGTCATGTGTTACAACAATTTCCCTTACATTAAAATACTTCATGAAAAGGGAGGCGAAATGCTAGAAAATAAGCTGGAACTCCTGGCTAGCTTGGACTGGTCTAGTTGGCCATGTAATTATGCAGAATTATTATCCTCCCTTCTAGGGTTTCAGAAGTCTCAAAATATCTCCAATACTTAAAATGCATCAGCGCTCTTGAAAATTGTTATAATCTGAAGCTAATTGGCATAATCATTTACACGGCATAATAAAAAATTAAGAATGTTAAACTGAATGCCATTTTTTCTTTTCCCCATCTTCAAAAAACTAGTCAGGAATTAAAAACTAACCTGGTTTAATTACCTATCTAGGTACATAAATAGTAAGCCATCTCTCAGCCAAACCTATCCTCTGCTATGCAAGCTCAGGAAACTTTACAGTTGCCAGCCTTACCTTGCTCTTGTACCTTGGGGCAAAGATTTATAGTGAAGATAGAAATTCACCCTTAGAATTAGACCGTGGTCTTGAGAATGAAAGGAGGCCAGAGGTTCTGATTTATAGAGCACCCAGGTTTTATGGATATGCATATAAATACAGGTGCAAAAGAACAAACAACTTACACACCTATAGCCAAAACTGCCATCCTCCAAACCTCTGCTTACCTGCTGTCAAACCTAAAAGGAAGCTGAAGTCTGGAAACATTTTTTTTTCCACATCAAAGCTCCCCAAATGCCTAAAGTTCTGCTTCTGCACATGCCTAGAAACACCCGAGTCTTGGCATTACTGAGTAGCCAAGGACCCTTGTCAGAACCACCTCCAGGATCCACAAACTAGATATTCCTCCACCTATTTTGCTTGAGGGGCTCGATCTGGCAGGCTCTCAGAGCATGTCTAACATATGCTGACCTGCATCAGTGGCCACTGTGGTTAGAGAACTCACCCAGGATTGGAAGCCCTAAGCTTAAGTCCCTTGGCTATCTGAGGAGATTCCAATCCACAGCTCTCATTTCCTAGGAAAGCGTCCTACCCACCAAATTACAAGATGTTTGGAGGGGATGGGGACACATTCAAGAGTCACTGGGCCATGGAATGGGAGCAAGACTATGCAATTTTCAAGCTACAGATTAGAGTACTTACCTGGGAAGGGAGTGTTTGGAGTCCAGTTCCTGCTCCAAGGACTGTTTATGTATTTTATCCAACAACCGTTTCACATGAAATACTGCAAGACTACATTTTAGAGTTAGGCATGTGCTAAGCTCAGCAGAGGATTTCAGAACCTCTTTAAATCTCATAAGGCATCTTTATGCATTCTCCAGGGAAACATGTGCTCTAGTTAAAACTTCTGCAGCGTCTTGTGTATTCAACATCCTGTGCTTCAAAATGGCAGCAGGGGTGCTTTAACTAATGCTCATTTGATGAGCTTTGAAGAGCCCCTACTGCCATTTTGAAGGGAGGGGGATGCTGAATACATGAGATATGGAGGCTGCTGTGGTGCATTAATTAGCATGCTCCAGCACAGCAGAGCCATGTCCCCACACATCTACAGGCACCAAGAGTACCAAAGGCCTCCCTTGTCCCAATCAAAAATCTGCCATCAGATACTCCTACAAACTTTCTAATTCAGTACTCTATGCAACATAAAACATTTCCCAAAGAAGGCAACCCCTATTCCCCCACTGCTGTATTTGTATTGGACATCCCATAAAGCAGAAAATGCTTTGGGAAACTTTCCTATGAAACAGTTTTTAACTCCTTCCAAAGTATGAAATAAAGCTTCCTCACCAATCAAAAAGCCTCCAGTTTGCTGGGAACCAAACTACACAATGTCCAAGAAGTTTTAGTTTAATGTACCAGAAAGACTTTTAAAGCATCCAGAAATCCTTCTTATACAAACAAGTCACACAGTTGCAGCACAAAAAAGGGCAAAAAACATGGCATGTACAAATGCCCTAGATACTTATTTAGACAACTATGGTTCTATAATGCCATGAAAACTCAGGCATTCAAAATGTTAATTATGGTTCCCTCCCTATCCCTTTTAAAGAGGGCTTTATTTTATTTTTTTGCCATAACACTACTGTTGTCCTGACCTGGTCATATCTTTTTATTGCCAACCTTATCCTAAGCTACCCAACAAATTTGTCTTTATCTTAGAATTACAGGAATGATTATATTTAAATTATTGTTCTCTACTTGACTCGTTCTTGAGCTGAAAAGCTTTGAATAGGGATGCACCGATCAAGATTTTCTTGGATGATATGAATAGCTGATTATCAGGGCTGTGCAAAGTTTTGGTTTCTGATTTAATTCAGCGGAGATTTGGCCCAATTCAGTAGGCCAATCCGAATCGAATACGAACTGCTTTGCACACCCCCCCTACCGATCATTAAGTCAGCCATTTCTGCTGATACCGATCCAAGAGCCGATTTACAGGAATGCAGTCCAGCAGTTAGAGCAGCATCCTGCCAGTAAGTCGGGGGGAGGGGGGGATGGGGCAGATCGGGGCCCCCACAGTGATGGAGAAAGTGGGGCCACGGAAGGGGCAGGTGCTACCTAGCTAGGGCAGTGAACAGAATCCCAGAGTTGGGAACCATCCCCCCACTTCGCACCGCCCCTCCTTGGGGCAGCAGGGCTCCTAAGGCAAAGGCAGCAGAACAGACTGCCCCAAGCAGGGGCAGCACTGTGGGGAGGGGACTCGCGAGCTATGGCCACCTCAAAATTCCCTGTAGCCCACCTATACCACCCCTTCCCAGTGCCACTGCAACCTGCCCTGCACAGCTGAGCCTGCCCTGGCCCAGCCCCCGCACTTGGAAGAGGTGGGTGCTGCCCATAACCTGCAGCCCACCCTCACCCTGCACACAAATCCAGGGGGACACATAACCACTATGCTTCCTAGGGGTGCAAGCAGCGGCAGCAGCAGGGACCTGCCCCCCTCCTCATCCCCTGGATGAACCATCCACAGTTCAGTCCTGCTCCCAGCCCCAAGGAACATTCACTACCCTGCCCAGGCAGGGCCTGCTCCTGCCCCACTCCCTCCCTCACTGTGGGGGCCTCAATCTGCCTCCCTGCCATCTGACTTACCGGCAGGATGCTGCTCTCCAAGTTATCGAGCTGCATTCCTGGCTGCACGCATGCTGTGGCTGCGCACATCCGCATGACATTTATTGGTGACGTTTTCAACCAAGATAAATAAGCCGATTATGTTAATTTTCCTGTTATCGGTGTTGATCCGATATGCAACTGATATATCAGTGCACCTCTTGCTTCCAAGAATAGCCCGTAGAAACTTCACTTGGGCTGCTGATTTATAGACTATTGCTATGGGATACACATTTGTCCTGAAGAGCTCACAAATGGTAACTAAAAGTAGTTTGCATAGTTGGACCTTCCAAAACTTTTCAAACTGAGTGTCTAACATGTATCCATCCTCCCTTTAAGTAAGGGTAACAAACCATCCATACTAGTACATAGGATAAATCGAGACATACTCCAGTGACTAGCCCACCCACTCAGCATGATGTAACCCAACAACCCAGATCTGGGCAATTAGCTTTAAGTTTTGTTATTTTTCATTAACATTTACTGCAGCCTGAAATTTGGACTTCTCACCAAGAAAAATGAAATTAGAGCTCAAGTGCTGGCAGAGAGAATCATAGGTCCTTAATAATATTCATTACTAGCAACTGCTTCCACCTTATTACAAGTTTCTAGTTGAATTAACCATCTTTTGGGATGGGAAAAGTTTTAGTGAATTCCAAAAGTATTTTCATTTTTTACCTAAAAAGTGGATGTTTAGAACGCCAATCAGACCTAGCCATCATGGTTGGTGTAGTGCATATGCTTTAATGACAAGGTCCTGTAAAAACTTAGTAGCAATAAGTAAACAAGTTTGTTCTAGTTAACATATGGGCCACATACAGGGTAGTTCAGGCATCTCACCAGAGCCAAACATATTAAGCAGTCTTGCACAGAAGGCCATCTCCAGTTGACCAAGCTGTAAATGGGTATTTGTTCACTTGAGCTGAAGATCCAATAACAAGCAGACATTAGCCACATCACTCCTCTGCAAGATAGTGACTGTGGAATGCCTTCTTCATGCTCATTGAGTAAGCCAGTTGCAAACAGGCAGTTGTGTGTGTGTTTTTTAAATTTACGTTGCTGTAGCTTAAGACAAGAGACAGGTCAATTCTACTCTATAGAGAACTTAGTGATAGGCCGCATTCCACAGCACTTACAGCATCATCCTTCAGTGATTCTTTCAGCATTGAGAAATTATCTAGTCCTTGAGCAGACAAACAGACAGGACAAATAGGCCCAGAACTTATTTCAGAATATGGAGTTAAGTAAGAAGTGTTATGCTTCCTTGTTCTTGGACTAGGAAACTGGATATTACTCATACATTTTCTCCCTCTTCCCCACTGCTCCAGAACTGTATAACAAGCTGTACTAGGTTCAAGCAGGGCACTTGTAGGACTTTAAGCAGTGGTGTTATTACAGATGTTTGGTAATGACATTAAGTGTCTGTAGTGGTAACTACTTAATTTTCCTATGAAGAACTTAATTTCCAGATTTTGTCACTAGCCTTCACTGTGAAGTTTGAAGTTAAGGACTCAACACTATTTGTGCTACATATCCCCAGCAAACTCCAAGGACAGCAAGAAGCTAACTACATGCCAGCTACAGCCTTAGCCTGTATAATTAGGAAGAGCTGTAGTGCCATGATACTACTTCAATAGCCACATGTTGTTACACAGCACAAAGTTTGACACTTGCTCTAAAACTTACTAATCCCATCTTACTGCAGAATTCTTAGAGGCCCTCCTGTGAAATGGTTTGTTCCTTTTTCCACTTAGGGTTTAATACAGCAGAAGGTCTACAAAACCATTCAAGTTGTGGGGAGATCTGGGTGGCACACATCATAGCACACCAAGTATTATGATCACACTGATGGATTGCTCCACCGCTACACTTTCAAAAAGGACACCATAGCAATGTTTTCACACTGATCAAGCAACAGAAAGGTTGCAGGAGTAAAGTTTATTTAAATCAAGTATGTGAGACACACAGTACGTCTCAGACCAACTGATAACTATTTACAAAACAAATTAGAAATATATAGTATTTGCATTTATACAAGTGACCTCTAAAACCTTGTTTAGGCAGTATACAAATATTTCCACTGCTACATATCACCAGTTAAAATCTGCTGCATCATCTTTAAAGCTTCCACAAAATTCAACAATTGTACCTGAGGTAAGTTTGGCAGTAGGTTTGTCCAAGAATGAGTTCAGAATTAAGAAAAAAAAAAAAGGATGAAATAAGAGTAATAAAAAAAAAAAAAATAAAAAAATGGAAGCTGCAAAACACAAACCCTGGCTATTTACATTTCCAAGCTAGTTTCACAGACTTCTTGGGTTGTTCACACATGAGACTGTAGCATTCTCCTCAGAATAACGTGACTTTGAAGACTCCTCTTCTGAATCACTATTTAAATTACTTCCCAAATCCCTCTCCTCATCCTCCTGTTTAAGTTCTTCCAAGTCTAGATCCTTTAATGCTTCAAGGCTGTCAGGTACCTGCCCAGTCAGTCTCTGGAAGATACAGGAGGAAAAATTATATATAGGACATTAGCAGTCAGTTAGAATATAAATTTTGATTTCTATAAAATGAAGCTTTTTTTCTCCAATTAGTCCAGTGTTAAACCATTCTTTGACGTCTCACCCAGAAGTGCTATTTCCAGTCTGCAGCTGTATCTAGTTTGCTTGAGGCTTTCGAGAATGCCTAGGCAAAGTCCATTTTGCCAGAAGTGAGTTTACCAAACTTTAAAGAAAGTATTTTCCAAATAAGGTTTTATTTCACTATATTGCCATGGCTATCTTTGATCCCGATTTTACATATACATTTTTTTCTTCCATCACAGCAATATAAAAAGAGACGGCTCTTTCTGAAGTGCTACAAGCCAAGTGTTTTTTGTTTTGTTTTTCAGAATGGACCTGTTGATTCTTGACCTGAGAAGAGCAAATGTTTAGAGGTCATTGATATTAGGTGAATCATGACAATCACCTACCCTGGAAATCTTCAAGAGGAGACTGGACAGTCACCTCGCTGAGGCCACCCGACCCCCAGTTGTCTTTCCTGTCTAGTGCAGGGGGTCTGGACCCAATGATCTTGTGAGGCCCCTTCCAGCCCCTGACAATCTATGAATCTATGACTAGTTCAAACTTGACAGGGACCTGTTTTCCAACAACCATCTGCCACACCTTTATTATACTAAATAGCTAAGTTAGCCATTTTACTTTGAGTAAAAAATAAAAAACATACACCACCCCAGGCAAGCGTCCTCTGAAAAATGCGCAAGACCAAACCATCATTGCCTCCACCCTGCATAATCCTCACTAGTTCAGGTCTATTTTTTTAAAATCCTGCTACAACCTAATGTTATCTTGTTATCCAGATGAACAAGAAACAGAAGGATTATAAAACAGAGGTAGGCTTGAATTTGTACTAGTTCAAGCAGTGAAACTGCAATAGAAATGTGTCAGTTGCTCAACAAATGCTTAAAGCTTCTTATTACACTTTATTTGTGATCTAGTAGGCTGCTCACATGTAACTGGAAACTACCTAAAGTTAGGCCTTTAGGTCTCAGACTGTCTCGAGACAGGCTTTGGCTTCCTCGACAATGACTGGCACATCACAACAA